GAGCTGATCTCGGCCACCCCCTTAGCCACTGGCGGAGGGAACACGGTGTCCAATCCTTGAGAGCAATCTGCAGAGGGAGAAATGTTGCCCTACTTCTGGTCGACGGCCGCACCACTGGGGCGGGGAGGAGGGGGGGAGCTCCCAGCCTCAGGAAGGTGGTGTGATGTTGCTGAAGGTCAGAGCCCAGAACTTAATGAGCTTTAAAGATAAAACTGCAAGTGAAACAGTTCCCATTTACTGAACTAAGTTTCTTTTTGGAGCACTTTTACCTATCTTACCTCCTTTGACTGCCCACCACCAAGTCCCCCTTCCCCACCGGGCAGCAGGGGCCCCGAGGCTGAGAAGTGAGAGGTTTGCACAGGGCCTCAGGACAACAGTCAGGAGTGGAGCCAACACCAGGGCCCAGGCCTCCTGACTTCTGACCCAGGATTCTTTGCCCTACAGCTGGGGGCTCAGCAGAAACACTGGCTCAGCGCTTGATCCCAGGAGCCTCCCTGGGGTGTGGGGACAGGTGCAGAGGCAGCTGCTTGGAGTTCCGATTGGCCAGGTCAGTGCCTCTCAAAGGCCGCACACCACCCCTCCCTGTAGCCTTTGGGAGCTGTGGCTTTGGGGACAGCAACCGTGTGCTCCCAGCTCTGACTGCTCCATCTTCTCCTCACACCAGGCCTACTCTGGTGGCAAATCTGGGGTCACGGGGCCCATCCCTGCCTCCAGGCCCAAGGCTCTCACCCCAGCTCAGGCACTCAGAAGGCGGCTCTATTGTCACAGCCTCCTCTGCCTCGTTGGTTTTTCTTTTCAGTACCTATCATTGCTTTGGAAGTTCCTCTTGTAGTCTGACCTCAGGCAGCCCTGGTGATTTTCTCAGGTAACATTCAGAGAGAGATGACAGGAGAGTAAAAAAAAGAACTAGCAGGCAGAAATGTCTGGTGCCGAGCCTGATTGAAGCAGCTTTCAACGATTAGGGATCATACAGTACAGGAGAGGCCAGTCCATCCACCACGTCTTCTCTGTTGCCTCCCTGCCCCGGAGGCAAAGCGCCCTCTGAGTCCCACAGCCCCCCCCCGAGCAGGGCGCCTCCCTGTTACCTTGTTGATGAAGGATGCGAAGCGGTTATTCAGGCACTTGATCTGCTCCTTCTCGTCCCTCTTCACCCTCTGCACGGCCGGGTCGATCTCCAGCTCGAGCGGGACCAGCAGGCTCTCATTGATGGTGACGGGGGCGATGCAGGCCGAGGGCCCACAGGGGACCCCCGCTCTGTACCCGAAGCCAGGCAGGCCACACCTGGAGGCCACCCGAGGCCTCCCGAAGCCCACATTGCACAGGCTTCGGGAGCCCAGGCAGCCCAGGGTGCGGAGCGCCCCCCCGCCCCCGGACCGGCACGGCCCCTTGCTCACGGCATAGTGGGTGACCATCCGGGGGAGGACAGCTGAGCAGGAGCTGAAGCTCTGACCGCCGTATCTGGACCCTGGCTGGAAGGAGCGGCAGGACATGGTGGGGGAGAGGCAGAGAGGAGGCTGGAGGGGAGAGCGCGAGGCCCGAGTTCTCAAGCCAGCCCAGCTTCCCCGCTTTTATCTCGTCGGGGGTGGTGGGCCAGACAGAGTCAAACCCCAAATCACCACTAACAGGTTTATAAGCTTGGGATGTTGGCAGTTGCTAAGTACCAAGGTGGATAATTAGGGTAGCGAAGAGCAAAGGGAAGGAGCAATGGGTAGTGTTGCTGTCCTCTTTCCTAGTTTATGGGGCCGATGAAAGGGGCCAACCAGACAGACGTTTGGCATATTGGGTGGCTCACCTTCAAGGAAAGGGGGATTTTGGACTTTATGCCATTTTGTGGTGGGGAGAGGCATGAATTATACACCCCTGTTGCCCAAAACTAGAGGCCAAATTAACTATGCTTGGGGATGCTCTATTTCCCCAAGGCTGCTTTTCTGCTTTTCTGCCGATGTGCCAGATGCAAGTGCCCTCCATAGGCTCTTGGGTGTTCCTAGAAGCTCCCTGGGAGGGAGGCTTTTGAGGTGGGAGAAGCCTCCACAAGCAGGTTGGGCCCGGCCCCTCCTCAGGCCAGGTGGGTGCTGGCTCTGGCTCAGAACCACTAAGGCTCCTGACACGGACTCTTGTCTCCGGGGCCCGTTTAGTCCAAAAAAAGCCTGCAGGGGGCTCGAGAGGAGATGCTTTGTGCTGGAGGAGGGGAGAGGAAGAGATGCTTTCCCCAAGACCCTTTGGACCCTCAAAGATGCATTGATGTCAGCCATTAGGTTGACACCATTGTGTCACTAGCCTTTTGCCTTTTGTCCCCACTCCCCGAGGTAGACAGAGCCTGCCGTAATCTGAGGACATTTCCGGGGACCGTTGTTGCCCTCAGGAATTGCTCAGTTGGATGCGGGATACCGGCTCCCTTCCCAGCACCCAGGTCACAGCTCTTTGGAGATGCTTGAAATACCCACCACCCCTAATTCCCTTCCCTCTCCCTTTCCATCAGTTCTATCCATGAGACCTCTGCAGTTGCCGACTGTCTTTCCCTGCCATACTGACTTTTTCCCCAGGTCACAATTAAGCCAATGATGATGATGATGATAATAATAATAATAATAATAATAATAATAATAATAACATTTATTGGGCGTTTATTGAGTGCTGGGACCACGTCAAGCTCTACACCCACGATCTCATTTAATTGCATGACGGCACCATGATGTAGTTTCTGCTTTCCAGATGAAGAACCTAAGGAGCAGAGTGATTAATTAAGTACCCCGAACCATGTAGCACATCTGTGGTAGGCTGGGATTCGATCCTATTCTTTCTGTCGTCACCGTGCTCTGCCGCTCTGATGGAGAGAAGCTTGGTTGAGAATGGGGGTCTCCTGCCAATATGCACTATGTCTTCTCTGATCCACCTGAAGATTAGGAGCCTGGAGCTCCACAGTTTCGGTCTAACTGTTCTGTTTCACTGTCCCCTTCTTCTTAGTCTTGACTTGGGGTCCTAGAATGCTGGGGAGGGAAACTGGGGCTTGGCGGGTCAGGGCTGTCACAGGTGGCCATGGCCAATGGTGGGAGGCGGAGGGGAGGTGGGGTGGGTCTTGTTGCATGATGGCAGGAGGGGGGATTCCCATTCTGCCTTGGGTTAAGCATCACAGAAGTGGGCCTAGGAGACGGTGTTAGAGGGGATGGTGACAGTAAGAAGCCAGACCGCAGAGTACCCCTCACCACTCCAAGGCCAGAGCATGGTGCAGTGACATGTTGGGTCCCCAGGAGCCTGGGACCAAAGCTGGGGATCAGCGAGTAGGATGGTTGGCTGGATCTGTTGTGGGCGGAAGGCACCTGCTCCCAGAGAACACCGGTTCCAAGGCCGCCCTCTGAATGTGAGAGAAGACGCGGACTCTACCAAGACCTAGAGAGCTTAGTGACACTTTATTGAAGCAATATCAGGAAATAGGCAGGCATGCGGAGCAGGCAGTTCAGGAGGGTTTGAGACGATCAGAGCAGGGTGACCTTTTTTCTGACTTCATATCTCTCCTGTCTTCATGTCCACAACTGGCAGCCAGGCCCTGCTGGCCTTTGGAATGCATTTTGGTCTTGAATGCATGGCAGGTCTGTGCCTACACGGCTCCCCTCTTCCACCACTCCTCTACCTCTGCTCCCTTCCCAGGCCGAGCAAGCATCCTCTGAGAGTGAGGAAAGATGCTGGAGGAAGGACTGCCTGTCTCCCGAGTCTGCCCTCTTAGGCCTTCCCTGTGGGGCAGGGGGTTTGGTGGACTGCCTTAAGAGTGTCAGTTCTAGCCAGACCTGGGGCACAGACAAAGCCACACTGTAGACGTGTCAGAGACAGGGAGATAGAAAAAGAAAGGTCAGGAGGGGGGGAGCAGGGGATATATTGCCAAACAGATGAGTGGGAGAGGAAGAAAAGAGAGAAATGAAGGAGCAAAGGGGGAGGGGTGGAGAGAGAAGACACACAGGGTGGTGGCGGCGGAGGAGAACAAGGAGGGAGGGGGGAAAGAGCAAGGTAAGAAGGAAAGAGAACTTTCCAGAAAAGAGACCTGGCTACCACAGAGCAAGGAGAAAGACTCCTGAGCCTGGAGGATTGTTCTGCGGGAGGATTCTCCCAGGGCCATTCTAACACAGTCTGATTGGGCTCCTTTTCCTGGTGCCTCTGCTGCCCGGCTGCCTTCCCACGCCTGGCCTGAGCCTGCCTCCCTCCCACTCAGCAGCAGGGCGGTTCTGTGTGGGACGCTAAATCTAATATTGGCTTAAATGAGGCAGATTTGAAAGGAATTCGGCTATGAACTATCATGGAATGTAGCCCCAGGCCATGGAGAACTTTTGTGTTCTTGATAAAATCATTCTATTCTAGTATGAATAAGCGACTTGGTCATATTTTGAAGGGTGTTGATTTCTTATTCCAATATTCTGTTGGTGGGAGTTGTCAGGGGAAGTGGCTGGGGGCCTGGCAGGGGGCAAGACGGAAGGAAGGGAGGACACAACATGCCCGTTGGGTTGGCAGCCTTCCCTGGTCGGAGGGGGCCTGCAGGAAAGGGTCCTGTTTGCGGCGAGAGAGCCCACACATGGGAACTCTGGCCTAGACTACACGCAACTTCTTTGGGGGCACCGAGGTCAATTCTAAGCTCCCCCCTCCCCCATAAAGGACGGTGGGTGCCGTGGATCTGGCTCCAGTGGGAAGAGGAAGACCCTACTGCACCCCTGCTCTGGAAGCTGCTGATGGGCTAAGTCCTAGCCCAGGTCTTGGCACAGAGCAGTTGAGTGGGCGTTAGTTGGAGTGGATGCCTGGGGACCCTGGAGGGCCCTGGGATAAGGAGCAAGGGGGGGTACCTCTGTGAGGACCCATCTGGAGACCGAGGGATGGACAAGGTGACCTTAGAACCCACAGGCCACTCCCCACGCCTCCTACTGTGATTTTGCGCAAGGGGCATCAGCAAAGCGGCAGGCCTTAGGGCTGGGGATCGGGCGGAGCCTGAGGGGGGCGGCAGCCCAGGCGGGCGGGGCCCTTTAGCTCCTGTAACTCTTCTTGGTGGACGACGTCTTGGAGATGATGCGCATGCTGGAGCTGCTGGTAGAACTGAAGCCGCCCCCGGAGCCGTAGCCCAGGCTGCAGCTGTAGCCGCCGCCTCTGGCCAGGCAGAGGCCGCCGCCCGAGCTGTAGCCTGTGCCCCCGCCGGAGGAGACCACGGCTGTGGAGAGAAGGCACAGGGCACCGCTAGCAGGCTCCTCCGGCTCCCCGGGAGCCCCCCTCCCTGGCTCTAGGCCCAGGAGGGCTCCCTCCCGCAGGGCTTCCTCAGGGAACAAGAATCTCCTGGGGCCAGAGAGGGTGGGTATGGATCCGCCGCCCCAGCGTGAGCGTCCGTATAGTCCATGGCGCTCTTCAAAGCTCTTTTCACAGCTGTGACCATGTTGATCTCAACAGACCTGAGAGGACACCATTACTAGGACCACCTCCACTTCCTAGAGGGAAAATGGAGGTGCAGAGACATCAAGGGCCAAGCCCGGGGTCACACCTGCCGTGTCCGTTCCTCAGCTGCACAGGGTTCTCATACCGGATGGGGCATGAGGTCTCATGTCTTGGGCAGGAGCGTAGGCTCCCATACTGGAAGAGGCCCGAAGGCCATCCGGGTGAACCTCCCCCAGTTGCAATCACCTCTGACACGTCACCGAAAGGCAATGGTTTATAGTACCTGCTCAAATACGTTCAGTGATGGGGAGCTCACTACCGTGGGACGCAGCTCCCCATAGCCTGTCAAACGTTTGAAGATGCCTCGTTGACCTCCCCTCTCTGTCCAGTTCTCCAGCTGAAGCATTCTTGTTCCTTTTATCAACTGGTTTCAAGCTCTCCCCCATCATGGGTTTCTGGCCTCCCTCATGTGCTCTGAGCCACCAGGGGACTAAGGAGACTCTCCTTCTCATGCCCAGGAGTCGCTGCTCCCTGAATGTCCCTCACCCTGCGGGGTCATTCCTGCTCTCCCCTCTGTGAGCTGAGGCCAAGCCATGCTCGACTTGTTCCATTAATTTGCTTCAATTCTAGATATGATTCTTTCCTTTTAACCAGTTTACTAGCCTCTTGTTAGTTGTGTGAGTTTGAATCCTGCCAGAACTAGCTAAGGAATCGCGTTCAGGCTACAGACCCATCACTCTGTGTGTTGTCCTGTCCTGTGACTGGGGTCCTCTGGGGGCCAGAGTGGAGTCCTTCCTGTGGACAAGGGACCCCACCGGGACTGGCGCTGGGTGGTGAGGTCTCACCACAAGTCTCTCTTGAGTCCACAGAAAGGAAAGGCCAAAGAAGAGGGGGTCTCCACAGAGCCCTTAGGAGGGTCTTAATGACATCCCTGGCCATATCTATCACCAACTCCTTGTTAGTGATGCTAGTGCTTCTGTTTTGATGCCCACTTTTCTATTTTCCCAAGACATTTACTCACAGATGTTCAGGGGTCCGACGCCTTCCCCAGTGAGTCTGTTGCGGGGGTGGAGAGAAAGAGACATTTCATTTGCTGAGAAGTTGAAGAGCCCTGGGCTCTTGTATTTGCAGCTATCAGCACAGAGCGCTTACTGTGTGCCAGGCCTGTGCTTAGCAAGCCTTTTGTTCATCTAGCTAATATGAATCTGCGGGGGGGAATCTAGAAGAGAGACGAAATCAAAATACATAGAGAAACGGGGAGAAGGATGTGTGTTCACTAGGTGGAGAGGGACATTCAGACTGTAGGCATCTCTGGGCAAACATGGAGCCCCTGAGGCCCATCCCCAGTGTGGCCTGGGGGCTGGGCAGGAATGGCCCTGCTTATGGCCTTCCAGATAGTCATGGATCACCTCTGCCTGACATTGTCACCCTGACCCTCTGCCCCAGGTCTAGCAGCAACGATGGGAGAGGCTGAGACTGCAGGACGCCTCTGGGGAGCAGCTGCATCTTAACCTTGTTTCCACCTTTGGAATTTCTATCTGGGGCCTGACATTCGGGGGCTCTTAGTGTCTGTTTGAGCCATGGTGGGAGCCATGGTACTTGAGCAGTCATGGTCGGGGAAGGCCCCCCACCTGCACTCCTCGCCCTCCAGCAGCTTGCGGTAGGTGGCGATCTCGATGTCCAGGGCCAGCTTGACGTTCATGAGCTCCTGGTACTCGCGCAGCTGCCGGGCCATGTCCTGCTTGGCCTTCTGCAGAGCATCCTCCCGCTCGGCCAGCTTGTGCTTGGCGTCCTTGAGGGCCAGCTCCCCGCGCTGCTCGGCATCCGCAATGGCGTTCTGGAGCGTGGCACTCTGCCGGGGGGCAGAAAGGATTTTGTGAGGTCGCCCACAGAGAATGCAGTAAGATGTGCGTTTAAGGTTAAAAATATGGGAGAATTTCCTGAAATGCATTTCAAGCAAAGGAGGTTGGAGCTTATTATCTTTAAAAATAAGATTAATCGCTGTCCTTCTTGGATAATTTGAGGCTTAGCCATAACGGAGAAAATGATTTTGGGAGAGTCCTTTCCGATGCCGCGCTTCTCTGCATAGTTTTGCCTTGTATGTCCCCGGAGGACAGACCCTTCCCTCGAGGAGCAGCTGTTGGGCAGATCTCAGAAAGAAGGTCCCAACCCCCGTGGTGGGGTGGGAGACTGCACGGTTACATTCCTGGACAGTCACTCATCGGGGGAGGCTTCTCTCTGCAGGGGCTGAGTTGGGACCAGGCCCAGGTCTGCCGGTGGGCAGGGGCATCTATGGGATGTCTGCTGGGAGCTCAGCCTTACCTGCTTCTTCAGGTTATCAATCTCGGAGCGCAGTCTCTGCATCATGCGGTTCCGCTCGGAGATCTCCATCTTGGTGGTGCGGAGGTCATCCCCATCCCCATGCTGGAGGCCAGCAGACCACTGCAGCTCCTCGTACTGGGGGAAGGGGATGGTCAGGCCAGAGGCGAGATGGCTGTGGCTTCCCAGGGCCCAACAGGCTTCCAGGGTGCTGCTTGGAAGTGCCTCCCTTTGCCCCCACTGCTGCTTTCTATCAGATTCCATCTGCACTGTCTCTTGGCTCTGCCCCTCGCTCTCCACGCCTGCAAGCCCCACCCCACAGCTGGACCCATCCTGTGTCTGGTCTCTCATCCTTCCCCCTCCACATCAGGAATCTTATCCTCACAAGCTCAGCAGCACACAGGGTGCCTGTCAGTCTCTGATTTTTAAGCTTTTTCATATTTGCGGCTCCCCCGCTCAGAGTGTTTGCTCTCTAACATGGAAAATCTCATTGTGTGGCCCATGTCGAGACTTTGCTCCCAGCCGCTTGGCCACCACCAGCTGCACCTCCCTTCTCTGGATCCAGGAGGCTGAGACTTGCTCTTGTTCCTACCTTCCCTTTCTGGCTCCTGCTGGCTGGTGCTGTCCAGCTGTCCCTTGTTGGCTTCTATAAGGCATTGGAGATGTGTCCATCCTCCCCCTCACAGAGGATTGACCACCTCCTGCCTTCATCTGGTTGCTCCCCCAGGTCCTGATGGTGCTGCCCGAGGGGTGCTCCTGATAGAGGGTAAGCCCCAGGCTGAATTCATCCCTTTGACCCATCAGACTGGGACACCTGACAGAACAAGCTCTTACCTAATTTGCCTTTGAAATCCCAGTTCTCTAAGATTGTTTCCTGGACTTGACCTTGACGCCTCACCTTGGTCTGGTACCGGGACTCGGCCTCAGCCTGGCTGCGGTTGGCGATGTCCTCGTACTGGGTCTTGACCTCAGAGATGATGCTGTCCAGGTCCAGCTTGCGGTTGTTGTCCATGGACAGCACCATGGACGTGTCGGAGATCTGGGCCTGAAGCTGAGCCAGCTCCTGTGAGGGGGCCCAAACGGAAGAGCTGAAGCAGGGTGTGTGTGTGTGTGTGTTGGGAGACAGTGTCCAGGCCCGAGAAACAGACCGTGGCACCGAGGACCTCACTTGCACTGTTGGGGTGTAGCACCTTGTATAGGCCCGAAGGGCTGGGAAGGACATTAGGGAGGTCACTGAGTTTACACTCGGGCTTGACCGTCACCTCATCTGCGCGCAGGGAGAAGCCACATGGGGAACTCCAGCCGGCCTCCTCCAGAAGTCACTCCCACTGTCAAGGGAGCGCACCTTGCGGGCACCTGTCAGTGCCGGGCTGGCTCATGTTCTGAGAAAACACAGCCTTTCACACCAAATAAAGAAATCCTCTTGTGACTGAAAACTGAGTCAGAAGGAGCCAGAAAGCTCTGCTCGGTCTCAGTCCTGTTGCCCAGCGTGGCTCCTCCCTGCTCCTCACGGATGGGGAGTGGAAATCAGCTCGAGACCGCAGAAAGAGCACCGGAACAAAGCATTCGAGTCTAGAATCTGCCAAGAGGGTGAGATCACTTCTCTGAGTCTCAGAGGGGCTGGTCCTAGCACTGTTTCACACGCTTTCTGCCAGGATTAAATCAATTCATGTCTACATAACACGGTTTTTGAAACAGTAAACCACAATTAATTTGTTAATGATCCCTTTCCAGAATCATCTAAGGTGGCGGTTCCCAAGATGGGATCCTGAGACCAGCAGTAGCAGCATCACCTGGGAACTTGCTTGAAATGCAACATTTTGGGGCGCCTGGGTGGCTCAGTCGTTAAGCGTCTGCCTTCGGCTCAGGTCATGATCCCAGGGTCCTGGGATCGAGCCCC